AGCCCATAAGTTAGTAAAGCACAATACGAATATAAATATGGAACACGTGTAAAAATAATGGTATGGTAGTCCAATTACAGCTGTTTTCAAAAAGACGTGGAAAGGCTATTTTTATGATGTATATGGGAAATCGGGAAATTGGGAAATCTGATTATTAATAATCAGTGACGTAGTAATATAATAAAATAAACTTTTGATTGTTGTATTATTATATAAACAAATTATAACGATATATAGCCTTTTTTTTTTATTTCTATTATTGCGTTCAATGGCTGATGCACTATATACGAAACTTAAATATAAACGAGGAACTTGCTTTGGATGCAGAAAGTGTTTGTATTGTGGAGTTGATCTACAAATACAAAAATGTAATTGCGATATTACAAAGCCACCTCATAGAGGCAATCGAACCGATGCTGTCAAGTATGCGTATACACGAATTTTTACTCCTAATTGGACAGTAGAACAAAGTATCAAAATATAACTATGCAAAAGATTTAAAGGAGGCTTTTAATTTTTCACTTTGTTCACGATGCAATAATGGATTACTTAAATTAGCGTCCACTAAAAAAAAATCACCATCTAATTCAGCAAAGAAGATGAATAAGAAGTCTTCTAAAAAAATTAAATTGGAACCTGAAATATGTGATCTTACTATAGCAGAAGATGAAAGCTTTTATGATTCAGCAGATTATCATGACTCAGATGAAATTAGCGAAGAGGACATATATAATATAGAAGATATATATGCAGAGAAAGATTATGAGTATGAAATTCATTATGGAGTCTTCATAAAGCTAGATGGAAAGTTTTTACCAACAAAATGGTATAAGGCAACAATATCCGAAATAGATGAATTTCTTCTAGAAATTCATACAAATGTAATTGCACTAACAAAAAATGAAATGATTGAAGCAAGCGATTATAATGTTACATTTAAGGGTGAAAAGGCTATGGGAGCTGGAACTCAATTAGTTGATGAACAAGATTTTCAAAAATTTTGTTCAGAATATCATCGACTTTCTGCACGAAAAGTTAATATGGAAGTTTTTATAACTATAAATTCTCAAAATTTAGCTAAAAGCAAACATAAAAAGGTATATATTTTTATTAAATTTTTATATTTTATTAAATATTATATTAAAACTAATAAAATATATTTATTAGGATACTGATTCTGAACCAGAATTTGATATATCCGATGATAATATTTTAGAAACTTATAAAAATAAAAATGATATTCCAAAAGTTTCTAACCTTACAACTGAAGAAATTCGAATAGCTGAAAATGTTACAAAAATTCGTACTACAAATCATTGTGATTTACATAATCGGGCATGTTTAAATCAAAATCAAGGTAAAGAAAATCATGTTGAAATTACATTTATGATGCTTTCAACATGGGCATCAGAAATTGTAAATATATATTTATTTTTTTAAATAAAATTTTATTTATTTATATTAAATAAAATTCTAATTAATTTTAGAATAAAGGATTAGCTACTCCTATGGATCCACCAACACATCCATTATTTGCATATCGGTTATCTAAAACAAAATCATCAAATTCGCAACTATCTGAACCAAATATACCAACAAGTTCTTATATGCCATCTCCATTTTATAATCCATTACATATGCACTCAAATTTTATTTTACCATATTCTATTTCAGAACAAACAACATTTACTACAAGGTCATTTATACCTTCTATAGATGATTTTTTAAAATTAGTTGATGAAAAAGAAGATACTGGTGATTATTATCAAGGTTTTTTAGCCAAATTTAAACAGCAAAGGATTTCAGTACGAATACTTTCTAGAATATCTGATGAAGAATTTAAAAATTGTGATGTTGATACAATTGGCGCAAGACAAACTCTTCATTATTATGCTATGAAATATAATGTTTAATCTTATAATTATTTAGTATAATTAATTGTTTATTTGTAACCTGCTTTATTAAAATATGCATTTGAAAGTGATGGTGTAATTTGTAAGCAAGCAACTAATAAAGAATAATTTGGGTCTGAGCTATTTTCTACAAAATAACGATATCGTCTTAAGTAATGTTTTATAAATGAAAAAGCCATCTCAATTGGATTGAGATCTGGTGAATATGGTGGTAAAAATTCTACCCGTACACCAAATGCATTTAGATATTTGAGTAATCCACTATGATGATGTATTTTTGCATTATCAAGAACTAATACACTTTTTGGATTTGGGTACGAATTCAACTGAGGAAACTAAATAAATTAAATTTATTATAATAAAAATAAAACTAATATAATAAAAATTATATTATATATACAAACCACTTGATTAATTACAACTTCTCTTTTGTACAACTACCTTCTATAATATCTACTGCAATAATACCATCTAATGTAAGAGCTGGTAAAAGTGTATATCTCTTACCACGAATAAAAGCTACTTTTTTTATAGCTCTTGTGTTTATTTCAGAATAACCATAACCACGGGTAATTGTACGTTCATCTTTAGCTGACTCATCTAAAAAAATTAGCTGCTTATGTTGATATGTTCCAATTCGTGCCATATAAGCACTACGAAGTAATTCATTACGTTCTTTTGCAATTTTACTTAACTAGAAGAAATATTAAATAAATATATAATTATGAATTTTTAATAAAATTTACCTTCTTTCTTGTTATTCCGCAATATACTAATGACCTCCATAAAGTAGAAACAGAAACATGTTTGCCACTTCGGACTTCCATTTCACAAACTATTTCATCAAGATACCAATCGGTATTTTCTTGAACAATATTTCGTAGTATCTATATAAAAACAAGCTAATATATAAGATATACTGTAATAAATATTATAATAAAACAAATATTACAAATGCTTACATTCATATCATTTCGATCAAATACTTTGTGCCGTCCAGGTATTTGTCTCCAGGGATTAATTACAGTTCCCCACTTCTTATACAGCCACAGTATCTTGTAAACTAAACTCTTACTAATATAAAGAAACTTTGCGATCTGCCTTGCTGAATAGCCATCATACCAAAAAAATACTATTTGCCATTTTAAATCTTCGCTATACATCTAAGAAAGTTTATTTCTATGTGAATTAATAAGTAGACTTCTCAAATATTTTATAATTACACAGTGTAAAGTAATACTTGCTTTGTTTTTTATTTAATTCTGCCGTTCTTCTTTACATTAACACTAACAATACCTTTCCCTTTACTTTCTTGTTACACCTTGAAAACATGACACACACAGCTTAACAATTTTAATTTTTATTTATTCAGTTGTTTTATTTATTATTTTGTTCGTTGAGAGAAAAGAGAGTTTATTTAATTTACTAACCCCTTATTCTATTGTTGCGATACTTAATCAATACAATAATTACTGATCTAACAAATGATCGAACTGCAGACAAACCATCCCAAATGCAATACAGAGTATTGGTTGTCACTACGATATTTATTTTAGGAATTCTTAAAATAATAATATTAAAAATTATTTTTAATTTGACACAGTACTATTAGTGTAGCCAAAGAAACTATATCGATCAGGAAATTGGTGAGAATCTTTCGCTGTCACAAGTAATATTCAAAAAAAGAGGGAAATCTTGGAAATTTTGTGAATTTCCCGTGATGTGGTGATCTACACCTTTCCACGTCTTTTTGAAAACAGCTGTAACATCTAGTGACACGCTCCTGGGGATTATTTATTTATTTCCTGTGGGGAAATTATAACAGAGATTACCGATGATCATAGTACGTGGATGGCCCTTCGGGCCATCCATGTACTATGATCATCGGTAACCTCTGTTATAATTTCTACTCCCCCATGAAATAAATAATACATATTTACTTAGATCATTATGATTTGACTCGTCAACTCGTGACTTACACAAACGAAATTAAATAAGCTTTCTTTTACAAATCAATACATGAAGTATATTTTCCTTTATAAATAGAATTTAAGTCTCTCAAATAATTTAGGTACTCTTTGAGTTAACACATTCCAATCACTAAAGCAAACATACTGATAAAATGGCTTGGATATAAATTGAGCTTATTGAATGTTGATTATTTAATACGAACTATTTTATCTTTAGCAATATGAAATCTATTGTTAATTATCTATATTTAATTACATGATGGCACCACTGAGACATTGCTTCCTTTATAAACCTTTTTTAAAAGACTTAGAGCAAATTAGTGCATACCGCCACCTAGAAATTTTAAAGAGTTAAAGTCTAAATTTTACTTTATAATGCGCATATATAACTAAACCAAATAATCAATAAATAAATAATTCAATACTTAATAAATCAATAATCAATAATTAATAAATCAATAATTAATAAATCAATAATCAATAATTAATAAATCAATAATTAATAAATCAATAATCAATAATCAATAGTCAATAATCAATAAATCAATAAATAATAAATTACTGGTAATCTTAGCAAATACAGGAAAACTACGTCCATTCATAAAAAGTTTTATATTGTTAAGTTAGTAGAAGTGATGCTAAATTTGCCGGCTTCTATCGACTTGTTCGCAGATTATGTTATTATTACTTTCTTCATTCTCTTTATATCCAGCAATACTATTATTTAATCCAGTTAAGTTAATAATTCTGCTTGAAAAGTATGCCTCCGAATGTTGTACAGTTGACTGAATATTTAAATCAGAAATTTCTTGAAGTTTCTTATCAGCATTTCGAAATTGTATGATAGCTTGTTTAATTTCATCATCTCTTATATCTTCAATATTCTTATCATAATTTTCCCAACAATTATACATAGTGTTTAGTAATTCAATAACTTCTGGTCGTTTAGAAGGATCCATGTCCCAACATCTTTTAATTAAAGATGCGTAAAATTGCGGTACATAATTGGCAATTTGTGGTCTAAATCCTGAACAAATGTCAAAACCAAGACGTATATCATGTGAAAGATTATTAAATGGTGGTTCACCAGCCGTAATTTCCCACATAAGCATTCCAAAGCTATAAATATCTGATTCTTTGGTATAAAGTTTTTCTCTTAAAACTTCAGGTGCTATATAAGGAAGCACACCGCATATTTCCTCATCCTTCAATGAATGTTTCTTAACTGGTTGAGATAATCCAAGATCACTTACTAATGAAATATTCCAATCATCATTTTCGTTAAAAGCATTACACATGAGTATATTCCCACTGTGTAAATCTTTATGAACTATTCCTAATCGATGAATTCCAATAAGTCCAAATATAATTGAATTTAAAATAAATAATCGTTTTTTCCAATTCATCCTGCATATTTGATGTAAATTATTCCTTAAGCTCCCTCCATATACATAATTCATCACGATTATATATTCTAAAGTCTCGGGATCTTGAGTAATTCCAAGTAGTGGTAATAAAATATCTGTCATCTTAAAAGCATTTATGTGATATTTTAACTATAATTATAATAAGGCAAATTCAATTTAATTGTGAATTAAATATAGATCAATTCAAGTGATATGTTAATCATATTATTTTCCATTTAATCAAATAATAATAATATGAAAACGAACTTACTTCATTTAAGAATTTATCATTAATCTGTGATGAGTCATTAAGCCTTTTTAATGCAACCAGAAGGCCAGTTTTTAAGCTATTACTATTTCGACTTGAAGATTCTTTGTATTTCCAATTATCATCGATTAACCCTATAGCTCGGTACCATTTATTTTTTTCGTGGTCCCATTTTACAATACGTCCGTCAGCCCAAATAGCTTTATATATTTTACCGAATCCACCTTTAGCAACGTACGTAATTTCTCTCAAGCGATCATATGGAATCCATTCTAGAACTTCAGACATCTTCATAGCGTTAATTTGAGTGTTTTGTATAAATACATCAATGAATTGATTTCCACTTGTCCAACTTGAAAAGTTTTGTTGAAATCTTTTAGCATTGCAAGATTGACACCAATCTTCATACGTATTTGCTTGATTGCAATCTGGACAGAAGTCATATTCATCTTGCAGCATCTTTAATGTTTTTTGCTGATAATTAAAAATGTTTCGACAAGTTTTGACAAAATTTTGTTATTATTTTGTTGAGCATTTTGAGTTTTGACGATCATTTATAAAGAGGCTACTTAAATTTCGACGATTATTTTTACAAGGTACGTACATTAAGTATCCTTTCAGCGGATAAATACGAAAAGTCTGGTATAAACCTATGAAATAAATAAGGACTATAATGTCATGCATGCCTACGAATTAATTCAGTATTATTTATATAGTAGCTTAAATAATTACATTTTTTTAATTTTGGAGTCAATTTCATTCAAAAAAATTCTTCCACTAATTCTAAAAAATAAACATATATTATTTTAGCTATTGCAGTTAATTGGCGAAATAAATAATTAAATTTAAACGAACTAAAAAATTTAAGTTTTAAAGATAAATTTTAAAATGATGAATGATTAGATGCACACTAGCATACCTTAAATTTTCTTTTGAAATAAAATTCAGCATGTGCTGACGTGCTGTTTTACGAGGATCTTCCCAAGTTGTTATTCTCATATCATGATTTACGAAAACTGCTCTACCATTTGTTGTGGTTCTTTGTTCTTAATTATGCAATAAATTTAGGAATTAATTTTGCCATATATAAGATCGTAAATCACATAAATTTTGGTAACATTTACCCCAACCAAGTGGTAAAGCAGATATGTTAGTTTGACCATTTCTTGATGTCTTGTTTAGATCTGCAAGTGATTCTTCATATCTGCCCATCATGCGATAAGTTTCTCCACGATTACTTAATGCAAATGCATTATTTGGTTCGATTTTTAATGATTTATTTAAATCAGAAAGTGATTATTCATATCTGCCCATCATGCGATAAGTTTCTCCACGATAACTTAATGCAAATGCATTAGTTGGTTCAATTTCTAACGATTTATTTAAATCTGCAAGTGATTCTTCATATTTGCTCATCTCGCAATAAGTTTTTTTTCACGATTTCTTAATGCCAATCCCTTATTAG